GGACATGCCAGCGGGCTTGGGGAGATGCTGCTGTCCCTGGGCACTGCCCCTGCTCCTGCTTCACCCCAGCTCCTACCAGGGCTGCAAATCCCTCGGGAACAGGGGCGTGCAGCGGAGCAGGGCTGGATGCGGCCGCCCCGCTTCCCCATCCCAGGGAAAAATCCCTCTGGGAAGGGCCAGGCCCCCGGCCAGGCTTGGCTGGGCAGCATGGCCCAACGCCCGGTGCCGGGGGGGCCAGGCGAGGAGAGCAGATTGCGTGGCACCGCCAGCCGAGGCGAGGAGGCGGTTGGCACCGGACCGCGGTGGGCAGAGCCCCGGTGCCAGATTGCAGCCACCAGCTCCAGCCGCCCCACGCCTGGGACTGGGCACCCAAGGGCACGCAGGCACAGGGGGCCATGGGGCACCCCACATGCACCGCACCGTCACCATCACCCCCCCCTGCTGGTACCTCTGGGGCTTGGGGATGTGCCCCCCGCCTCGTATCGCCCCCACGCTTGGCATGCACACGCGTGCACACCCGTGTGTTCCACACACACGTGTACTCGCGTGCTGCCTGCGCTCGGTGCAGCCCTGCCTGCAGCTCTGGGCACGCCTGTGCACACACACGTGCACCCCCCAAAAGTCATTGCACACAGGCTCTGACACATACCCAGCACCCCAAAACCACTCTCCCTTTGTGCGAGGCGCACACATCTCACCCACGCGATGTGTCCCTTGTCCCTGGGCCCATGGGGACACGCGTGCTGTCCCTCTCCAGCCCCATGCAGGGGGCAGAGCCCTCCAGCCAGGGGGAGCACCCCCGTTCACCCCTTGTTCTCCGAACGGAGCAGAGCCCAGCTTGGGGAAGCAAAGCAGAGCCGTGCCCCCCCGTCCCCCTCCATGTCCCCTGGAACCCCATGTCCCCCAGCACCTGCACCGAGCAGGGTCCATCTGTGGCTCGGCCCCGGTGATTAAAATTGCAGCACTTAATTGCAGCTGGAGGTTTCATAGAGCAGGGCTGGCTCAGGGGGCGGGGGGCATGGGGACCCCAAGCCCGTGCACCCCGGCTGTGG